TAACTGCTATATCAATGACTCTATTTATTTTTTTCATTGATAATATATTGATTCACTTTTAGAAAGTATGTGAATGCATTATTTTATCAATTCCATGAGAAAACGTTTAACGTTAAAAAAATGTATTTTAACGTATAACGAATGTATAACAAACGTAAAAAGAAAAGTATTGTAAACGTTTTTTAATCAGAAAAGAAACATATCTCTTAATTAAAGTTTTTTAAATGGACATTTTAACCAATTAGAAACGTTTTCAAGAGTCGGTTATGAAACGTTTCGAAGAAACATTTGTAAAACATTTTTGAAACAAATATGTGCCTGCGGTCATTACCTTCATTTATCTTCTAAATGTTATTAATTAAGATTCAGAAATTTATTATACACTATTTTAAAAAATATAAAGAAGTCTAATGGGGTTAATTAAAAAATTAAAAACAATAGTTTCTTAAACATTATATATGTAAATATATAGTAGATGTTCTATGTATTCTACCTATGTAGATATTTTAAAAGTATTGTTCTTATTTAAGACATTATGCATTTTTCTTCTCTGTAATTAAGACAATCCTTTTTTGCACTTTGTCCTAAGATCTAAGTGTGTTAGGGCTTTTTAAATCGATGGCAGTGCAATGCTCTCATGCACGCATGCATAAGTGGAACGATTACACGATATCTTAAGATCATTGGTAATTCCTTTTTTAAATATTTAAAAAACTTTTTTTCTTTTTTTGAGAATTTTCATAATGAATACAAATAGCTACATTTGCTATTTTCTTCCTAGCAATTATGTAATCGCTTAACTTTTTTTGCATCGGCTGTTAGGTCGCAATTTGCATAAGACAATGTTTTTTCTTTCTTTGTTATTTTATTGTTTGTTAATGTTAAAAATTTACAATTCAGATTATTTATTTAATTACATGTTTCTTGTAATTGAATTATCTTAATTATCGTATCTTTTTATTACCATGAGAATAATTAAAAATTACAAATAATTTTGAATGTACAATCAACAACACAATTGCTCGCACTTAAAGCATGCAGCTTAAATAGAGAAAATCCAGCTTAGATAATTCGATTCGAGAAAATTCGATATAACTATTTAAAACAATCCGATTTTTTAACACAAAGCCCAAATTTATAAGATTAACAAATTATTTTCCTTCATATTCGTCTTTATTTTTATGTCTTTACCTTATTCGTATATCTAGCTGTGCACGGATATATCGTATAAAATTACATTTTCACAATATATTACTCGAGATAAAAAATGAGCTTATCTTTATTAAGCCCAGAATTACAACCGTAAAGTTCATATGTGCCCTCAGATTAACTACTAGATTATTTTTTTCCTTTTTTCTTTTTCTATAATATCTTATTCTTATTTTCTTCTTTCTGTCTCATTTTTATCGTTAATATGTTAATTGGTGAAAAGAATTCTCTTTTTCTCTCTTATCTTTTTTACGAAAACTCATAAATCGAGAGTAAACACAGACAAAATTCGCAATCGAAGTCTTCGCATACGCGACTTCTAATCTTATCGTCGATGTTCTCTCCTTTCGAATGTGTTCTACATCCACGTCGCCGAAAATTGCTTGCGTATCCTGGGGCGGGCCTGAAACGAGTTCCAGGATCGCTCATCGCGTCTTCGATTTCGACGTGATGCGTATTTCCATGCACGTTCGAGCGTAAACAGTGATTTTGCGAACGAAGGAGATACCGCTGTCTTCTTATCGGGCTTCCGCGCGTATATTTTGCAAATATATTCGATGCGGATTCAGTAAGAACGAAGCCCCGCGGAAAAGATCGATAAGTAGAATAAGAGAAACTTTTTTTTCAAGTTTCTCTTTTTTGAGAATTTCGAATCGTTATATTCGCTCGTACATTTGTAACGAATATCGTGCAACTTACGTCGAATCCGCCGATTCGTTATTAATTGCGCGTGCATAGTTGTATTTAATAACGTAATATTGCTGATACGATTTGTCAAGCTTACGATATTAATGAAATCGCATGATGAAATGATTTCATGCTTTTCAAATTGGTATCATTGTGTAGTATTAACTTTCGTTATTAATCATACACACGCTAGTATTCTTTTAAATAATATTTATATCATGATACATTTAACAGTTTTAACTTAATCATATAAATATATTTATACATGTAAATATTTACACACACCAATTATATTATATATTTATATTATATATTATATATTATAATTATATAATAATAATAATATAATATATTGTTATAATAGAAATAATTCTTATAATTATTTCTAATAAAGAATTATAGAATAATTTTTTATTAATGTGTGTATTGCTTATTCCATTTGCATGTATATTGATATTATAATAATGCAAAAAACAATCTTTATCTTAATTCTCTCTTTTCTTAGCTACACTTAGATGCATTTCGGAAGATAATCTTGCTAAAACTATGTCGTAAGTTGGTCGGACACTACGATCGATCGCTTTAATTTTATTATCTCACTTCGTGACTGCTGTACCTTGATCTCTTCTCTGTCCTACTTCTTTTTCTTTTGCTCGCTCTTGCCTGCTCGAAGCTACTTCCGTATTTTTCGTGTTCTTTCCTCTCTTATTTTCGTGAACCCTTCGAGATCGCGTTACGTTCTCTAAGTTTTTTTTCTTTCTATCTCTTATGCAACTAGAGGTATATTATATCCCAAAGTTAGAAAATTCTTGAATGAGAAGGATTATCTTTAATTTGTGTTTTAATTGGATGTCGATCGATATTAAAAAAATATAAAATACTTTTTTTTTTTATAAATCTACATATATTTGTTATCTTGTATTATTTATTTTGTTAAGATAAAGAGAAATTATTAAATAAAGATGTATTAATGTAATTATTACATATTATTATTATTATTCTGAATGATATTTTTTTTCGATAACTATGAAATCCTTGTATAAAATTTTGAAATCCTTGTATAAAAAGTGTGTTCGATTCTTGTTAATATTATCTTTTCTAACCGCACGTCATACGGTTGCGGATACATCCATTCGCGTGCAACCTGGCGCACGGAGATGCACGATGGATTTTATATCGCGCGTGATTTACCACGCGATGGGGATAGAGGAAATCTCGGAGCGCGAATCTTACACGGGGAGAGTTCTCTCTCTCTCTCTCTCTCTCTCTCTCTCTCTCTCTCTCTCTCTCCATCTCTTCTTCGATTTTTCGTTACCGGCATATTTCACACGCGCGCGTCGCTGGCAAAAATTCAGGCCAGACCGATAGATATCCCTTGTCACGTGTGCCGGGAGAGATGATACGGATGCATCGAGAGCGATGCGAAACCTCGAGATGAGGCGCATCTTTTTCCTCGACATGGTGCGTGAAAATATATTCGTACACGATATGCGGATGTGTAATGTAAATCCTCACAAATATCCGTGTAGTCCCCTTCCATGGACCCGTGTTATCGCAGACGTTGGTTGGCGGTAATGGAATTTGACATTAGGATCGACGCGGCCGCTGTACGAGAAGAGGAAATATAGGCAGCTATATAAACGAAAAAGAGAAAGAAGAAAGAAAGAAAGAGAGAGAGAGAGAGCAAGCGAACGAGACTTTTATCACGAATATCGGTCGTCGCAAAAATTCCAACCGCGAGTATTCGACATTGTAAATGCGAGATAACATCGCACATGCGTGTATTTATGTAGAAAGAGAAGAAAAGGGAGAAAGAGAGAGAAGACAAAAAAAATAAAATATAAAAGAGGTATAATATCTGTGTACACGTGAATTACTTTAGAATTAAATTGTTAAAAAAATTAATTTAATCTTTAATTAATTACTAGTAGTGTACTTGTATTTATAGATTTTAATAATACTTTCTTTTCCTTTTATACAAACAAAAAATTTTGAGATAGCAGGAATAATAAATAATTACCGTAAAAATTTTAGAATTAGATATTAATGAACATTAATTCTCTGACAATGAGCTTAGCGGAAAGCATTGTCTCTTTGTCCATTAATTATGTACAGTTATATTAGCATTTATTGTAAATGTAATTTTAGTGGACACACAAAATACAATAGTACAAGAATTATATTGGCAAATATTTAAATATGACATGTAGATCACGAAAATTTGTATTTCAATTTTTAATCATCATATTATTCTTGCATTTTTTCAATTTTTCTTTTATATCCTCTAGGTACAATTTTTTTTATATCAGAATGGCAATAACTGCAAATTTCTCTCTTGAGCATTTCATATTTTCTGTGAGAGATATAGTTATCGCGAAGGAATATTATCCTTCTTCGTCTCAACATCTCTAATGCTTGAATCACAATTATTATCAATGCAATACACAATTGTTAGTGGATTAAACTCGTAATTTGCGTCACAATCAATTACGAATTACCGAGTTGCACCTGTAATTCGTCTGTTAATCGCATTGTTAATTATAGATTTTTCGTTATAAGTGCACGCGCGCGACGACAAATGCATGCGTAATTAATCAATTAAGGGCTGTCGCGCGAACAGAAGATTACGTGCTCTTGGCAATTCCATTTAGGGTCAGAGTCATTTGTAACAGTCCGTTACGTGCGTTACGCGCGGCTCTCTGTAATCCTGACATTTTTAGTGCAAATTGCGATTTGAATATTTTGTACTCGCCATTGGCTTTGTAAATTGAACCGTTGTTTACTATGTCGTTGAAAAAGCTATTACACAGTCCGCTAAAATACCAATAGTATTGCTATTAAATTAAAACAACGCTTAAATTGATCAAAGGCAATAAACAAGATTAATTATTTTCATTTTTTTTTCATTCACTCTAACCTTATATTTTTTGGATGCTTTTTTTTTATCAAAATTTGTCTTCTTGTCTTCTCTGAGGTTATTTTTCAACTGATCTATTTAGAATATCTCTCTTTTGTAACATCTTAATTTGTTTGTTATAATTAATAATTAATATTGACAGATTTTAATATTAATATATAATTACTGTCTTATTATATATTTCCAGATCATCCAAATATCAAGTGTTACTTAGGTCACGGTGGACTTCTTGGAATCTCGGAAGCTGTCTACGTAGGATTGCCGATGATTTTGATGCCGATATTTGGTGATCAGTTCCACAATTCGGCTGCAGTGAGGAACAGAGGTGCCGGGATAGTTCTTTCATTCTATGATTTGAACGAACAATCTTTGAGACATGCTTTGGACGCTTGTTTTAATGATACCAGGTACGTTGTTCTGTTCAGTTTTTTTTCAATCGTAAAATGAGAAATTTGTTATTAATTTTTTGTCTCATATAAACACGTACATAGATATATGTTAGAGAAAAAAAGGTTAATAAAACAAATTTCCTTTAAAAAAAATGTTTATATATAATATATATAATATATATAAAATATATTTATATTTAACATAAATATTCTACACATTTTGGCAAGATATAAATTCGCGAAAATCTATTTCGCGATAAATCTTCTTACGGTCGACAAAACCGAGGATAAAATCGTCGCAAAATTAACAATTTAAATTTGCGATTATTATTTTATTCGGAGCAAATTCAAGATTAACTCCTTCGCTAGACATATCCAATGAACGCGGACTTTTTAAAATTTCGTCGACATATTTCCGGCGCAAGGTTACTTATTACAGCTAATTCCCATGCCACTGATATTGATTACGTTAAAATTTCTCACGCGTGAGATGTCGTGGCGGAACGGAAAAGGATCACACTGAAAAAAAAGGAGAATCGTATAATCTGTGCGGATATTCGCTCCGTTGAATATCTCACGAACCGTCCGGATATACCGGATATCCGGCAAGTGCATCGTCGTTGCGCGCAGCCGAGGCGCCTCGTTAATCCGTAGCGCGGCTCACTGACGTTTCAACCCCCTTCTCTATTCTCTTTTCTCGTCCATTTCTCTTTTTCTCTCTCCCTCTCTCCCTCTCTCTTCGGGTTTTCAATCCCCTTCATTGGCATCCCTTTCTTTTTATGTGACGCTGTATCCCGCTGTCTCGTTCGTTCTCCAAGAAGATAGACAGTGTTGGGAGGAACAAAAGGGAGAAAAGTGAACGGAGGGCACGGTGTATCCAGCACTCTTGGCGTAGCCCTCCGGCAGGTAATTTTTTTTCCTCTCTTTCGGCACACCGTCACTCCAGTTCTCGTTGCAAATTCGAGGCACGAATCGCGGAAAGAGCGAACGTGTTCCCCGGATGGTTCTCCGGTCTACTGTTCGCCCTCCCCCTTAATTCTTTTCTTCTTCGTCGATCAACGAACAAGCGAGCGAGCGAACACAGCTACCTCACCTCACGCTCGCTCGCGCGCGCGTGCGCATCCGGCATGGGAAATCGCATGGGAAATTTCGCGAGCATTAAATGTTTCACGGGGGCACCGAATCAACGGCGCGCCGTCGATGACGACGACGAGGCGAGACTGAAATGAAATTTTACATTATTCAACGCTGCCTCCCCAACTCATCCTCTTTCTCTCGTGTCCATCTCGCTCTAGCCAAGTACGGTCAACTTGTTAACCGCACGCGCCCTCGTTACCGAACCAGCCGCGAACTATAACCACTATAACCACTCTCCATAGTATACTCAAGGGTGTCGAATGCGAAAGATCGGTGAACGGAGGGTAACCGGAAGGTGTCCCGTGGGGTAAAACGAGGGACGCTATATTTATTTGATACTTTGTTTATTCGACATAACTAACTTCTTAAGAATTTTATATAACAATGGCAATTTTCTATCTTGTAAAGGATCCAGACGAAAGGACCTCGCACATTTTATATGAAAAAAGTGGCTTCGGTCAAATTGGCTGAAATTGAAATATATTGTAGTTTAGATGGTGCTGATCAAAACTGTTTCCTTGGATAAAAAGTCAAAAGTAGCCGAAAATCAAAAGTATAAAAGATATGATGATTTGAAGTAAATAATATTGAAGTTTAAAAAGCATCTGTTTTTGAATATATAAGTTAAATTGATATATAAATGTTTGAAAAAAAATACATATATAATGTGTGCCACTTTTACATCTTTTATACTTCTGACTTTTGGGCTTTTCGCCCCAGGAAACTTTTGATCAACACCACTTAAACTAGAACATATTTCAATTTGAGCTAATTTGACCGAAGCCACTTTTTTCGTATAAAATGTGCGAGGTCCTTTGATTAACGATTGGATTATCATTCTAAAAGGATAAAGAATAAATGTTTATGAGTTAAATGCACATTAAACATGAAAAAATTAAATGATTATTTTTGATATTCTAATTGTTTTAATTTTTAATTTTAATTTTTTTGAGATATTTATTTACTTTGAAAGTTTCCAACTTTATTATAAAAAAAATTAGCATTTTGATTTAATTGTTAGTTTCTTTTAATGAATATATATTTTAATGCAAATTTTCACGCTATTTTATTTTACTTCCGTATCTTATTCAACATTTCTCTAATTTCAAAACGTAGTATCTCGCAAAAAGCAATTTTCAAAGCTAAATATACCGCAATATAGAAGCAGAACATGTATGCAATTTAAAAACTGGCATTTGTGATTATATTTTTCTGTAAAACTTCTATTCGTCTGTCTTTGTAATTCTAATAGCGCTGATTTGTATTATCATAATTTGCATTTGCAATTATGATAATACAAACATGCTATTTCTATTTTTTTCCTTTAACATACAATTTGCATTTTATGAAATGCGTCAAAGAATGATAGAGTACATAATATTTATGAATGCATATGTGGTATTTACAGTAGTTTTAACTCGAGCAGCAAAATGTTAGATTTCCAAAGAAACTGTTTTTTTCCAAAACTGTTGTATTTTTCCTATTTATGCTATATATTATTAAAGAAAATATTAAACATGTTTACAAATGATTAATATGTTCAATTTGACATTTTCAATTTAATGAAAATTATATTTAAATTATTCATAGAAATCTATTGTTAATTGTTAGAGTGTTAAAGAGAAAGAGAAAAACTGAACTCCAACAAAAACTTAACTCTATTTATAACGTAGTTAATGAGATAAGGGTCAAAAATCAATACAATCTTGTTACAATTCTCCTTCTATCTTATTCAGAATTCCCTACTGCATGACTAAGTATTTCTTGATCTGAATATAGAGTTATTCCACATTACGTAATAAATATAAATGCCTATTCATTTATCAATTGCAGACTATCAATGGCGTAGACAGTGAAGTGGTTGTAGAAAATTACGAAACTAATCATCGTTGATACCGTCGATTATTATTTACGATGTCCCATAGTTTACCAGTAGCAATCGTTTTTTACGATACTCTTGCGAATTCTCGTCGTGAAATCGTTATGAAATATGGTACGTTTAATTTAGCGAAACGAGGCAGCGCCCGTGTATATCATCATGCAAAAATTCGCGAACCGCTAATTACCCTGGAAATTGCCAACAATCGTGAGTTTATAAGGAAATTACGTTCTTTCATTCTCTTTTACGTAATGCATTTATGCAAAAATTAATTCCAAGGTATCCCATTTATATTAACGATTATCAAGTAAAATTTAATTATCCACCTTATATATTATCGCAATTAAAAAATGTTCTATCATGTATAAATATTAAGATCTCCTCCTGTCATCGTAATTTATGAACGATACGAAATTAATTAAAGCTGTGATGATGAATTTATCAAAGTATCAGTCACAGTTACGTCTGCAAATGTAAAATTCGAGATAACGAATTTGCCATTGCAATGCTAAAACATATCTAATATCATGACAATCGATACGCAAATTCTTTGTGCGCGATACAAACTACAGTGACGCGCGAATAATCCGGTCGAGCGAGATAAAGCCAGCTTAATAAATCAAAGCGGATATGAAATTGTTGCGCTCGGCTGCTCGTTTTCGCGTCGTACGACACTCCTTAACGTCGGTGTAATCACGATGTCGTCGGATTTACGAGCTAGCGCGCCTTGGACCTTTAGCTAAGGATTCGCTAAAGTTGGGCGATATACATATATATATATATATATATATATATACATATATACATATATATATACACGCGCGCGTGATTCCAGTTTCATTATAATACCATCCGCAGACACGAATTTATCCACTCGGCCTCTAAAAGATGATCCTCTAAGCTATAATCCTTTGTCTTTTGTATTTCTATCTGTTGGGATTATGAATATAGAAGAAAATTATAATAAAATATGTATTTTCTGTAGAGAGATACTGTAATGGAAAAAAAATACGAAGGAGATATACAGAGGCTTTCTTAATAAGTACGAAAAATTTTAGGAGATAATTCTTTATCGAAAATTAAGGAGAGTTTTAAAAAGTTCTAATAAAAACAGGGGTTGCTAGTTTCATCCCTTTATCACAATACGGGAGACTGAAAAAAATATTAATAAATAACCTTTTTACTAGTAGAAAATATCCACCTAATTTCATTTCTTTAACTGTTCCAAATTTGAGAAAAAAAATAAAAATCTAATTTTTATCCCCATTTTTGGAGAAGTGTAACTCTACAGGGAGAAATGTTTATATGAAAAACCTCTCCCTTAATTTTCGACAAAGAATCATCTCCTAAAATTTTTCGCACTTATTAAGAAACACCCTATAGAGAATGTTAATTATAAAAATTTTTATTAATTTATTTATCATGGAAGATATCATTTAAACTGATTACTTTGAACGTAGCGTTTTAATGAATATTTAAAATTTAAGTTTTCATGTTATATATTATCTTATCTAAATGTCTTTTTTGCATGTAAATTATTCCTTTAAAATACTTTCAATTATTGATATGTTCAAAAATTATTTAAATTTTTTTGTACTTATCAAGATTAAAATTTGAATTTCCATTTTAATGTCCACGTGGAAGACAGTTTCTAATTTATACAGCGATTCTAACTGGACATGCATTTCAATGTTTCACATGTCGACAATGCGAAAATGATTATTGAAATGGATCAGATGTGCGTCATGCCGTACACACGCTATAGTGAATCCGCATTGTTTTAGAAAATACGATGCAATTATTCGAATGCGATATTATATGAGCGAAGAGAATACCGAATTATCGAACAGTTTGAAAGCGTTAACATCATTTTCGCCAATGATGCCGTTGTCACACGGATCCATAATGTGATAATTATTGTGGTACGCATTTACGAGTATGGGACATATATTATAGTAAAATTGCGACAGCTTTTCTACAAACGATCTCTTCTGTTCTCTTT